AAAATATATATTTTTTAAAAAAATATTTTAATTTGTGTTCAATTAAAAAACTTTTAAAAAACACCTGTGCTGCTATCCTGGTGTCATCACACAGCTTTGGGGAGACTCTTATGGACCTAAAAATCGTCAAAGACTTCCTTAATCATGAAAGCAATGAGAGAGGCATATACTGCAGAAGCAAAGGTGCTTATTGATCCTTTTTTTCCCCTAAAGAAGTAAATCTAGATTATTCTCAGTGATGTCTTTTTAAAACTGCGGCCTCCTTAACTTTATTAATAGGTTTTCTGAGGTTAGCGCTGGAGAGCTAACAGAAGTCTAATTTACTGTTCAGTTTCCAGATGTACTCGTGCCAGTATTAACTGGGTGATAAATTAGTTTTTTATGCCTTTGCCAAATTTTATTATTGAACAATTTCCGTGTGGCTCTGTTTTAAGCCTAATCTAGTTGGCCCATGACATTAGCCATTTCAGAGATGTAATTATTTCTCTGTGTGTGTGTGTGTTTTAATGATGATATAATGTCAGGGTTGCAATATGTCAGTTACTAAAGGTTTTCAAAATGAACTAAGATTTTGAATGACTAAGGGCAACATCTACACGCCCACTCTTTTGTGCTCCTTCAGGGCCAGTTGTGCATCTAATTTTGTGCATGCAATTATATCTTTTCCAGAGTTGAGTTATTTCTGATTCCACTCTGGTTCATTTCAAAGTATTACAAAATGGATACAAAAATGTTCCAGCTCCGCTGTTTTCTCATTAGTGGAAATTTTGAACTCGCCTTCCCTTCCTGGATTTGGTCTCAAGCCAGCTGTTAATGCTTCCACCAATCCCAAGAGAGACTCAACATCCTGTTGTTCTGCCCTAGTCTTTCCCCAAAAGCACGAAGCAGAGCCTTGGTCTCCACAATAACCCCTTTTATTAAATGAATGTGAATTACTCTCATTCACATTCAGCAAAGGCCTGGTAAACAGTCTTTCAAAGGTGAATTTATGAACACAGACCTTATCCAGCTTGGAAAGCTGCCATGTAAATATTTTCCAAATGCATTGCTGTGCAAGGCACAGAGTCTCCGAGATTCACGGACAGATCTTCACACTCCTGAAATGAATGAATGAATGGTTTCCCGCAAAAGCCCACTCCCCTTCCACTCCTCTTTTATTCCCCATAGGAGGGGCCATTCACCGTCCACCTGTGGCTTTACTCCCAAATCGACCCTGATTTCTGAGCTGTTCTTTTTTTCTGGTAGCTCTATGCATGCGCACACTGGGAACAGGCTCCAGCTGTTCCTCTGCCTCACTGCTGTCTAGCTCTCTGTAGGCACCTGATCACTGCCAGACCACCATGGCCCCATCTCTGCCTCTGACACAGAGCCCTCATCGGATCCTTCCCCATCCTCCAGGACTAGCCCATGTTCCTCCCCACCCTCCACAAGGACAGTTTTTAGGAATTTTCAGTTACTTCAACTCTGCTGCCAACTCCACTGACCGCTGGTGGGCCAGTAGCCATTGGTTAAAAAGGGGGGCACAATGGTTCAGCGGTTAAAGACACTGAGTTTGACAGCTGGAAAACTGACAGCCCAGGTTCGAAGACCAAGCACCACATGAATTAATCAAATTTGCAGGCGACACCAAGCTAGCAAGAGTAACCAATACCCCAGAAGATAGGCTTAAGATACAGAAGGATCTTGACAGACTTGAACATTGGGCTCTATCTAACAAAATGAAATGAAACCTTATTGGGTCATCCCCAAGGGAAGGCAAGCAGCCTGGGAGATACTTGTAACATAGGTGATAAACAATAATGTTAATTACCTCAGCTATTTACAATTGGCTCTGGTTCCTTGCCCCTGACAAATTGGGGGTGTAGGGACAACCATTACAGAGGCTGGATCTTTTTTACTCAACCCTACAATAGGGTTTTACTAAAACACCACACCCTTCACACTTTTTCCTTTATTTGGCTTATATTTTAAGACTTTTGAGTAAGAAGCACATGTTGAGGATTTATTGCTTTAAATTTGCATCTCCTTTTTTTGTCGTGTGAGACTTAAGTCCCACCATGTAAAGTGCATACATAACATTCAAGAAATAAGTCAATAAAAATATCTGTGAGACATAAGTAAAATATCAAGTGAAGTGTTTAAGTTAGAGCAGCCCATTTATACTGGTGATAGAAATAAGATGGAAAGCAAAATAATACGTACTTCTGTAAGTTATCTGGAGTGCACACTTCTTCATCATATAATCCTTTCGGATCTAACAAGGTTCCTGAGAGAAAAAGGAATATATACAGTAGTCTGCTATTATTCCAAAGCAAAGGGATCATAAAAGTTTGAATTAGATTTTGCCTGTATTTTAAAATAAACTGGAATTCCTGAGCTTTTCCAATCCTGTATCCCCAGATAAAGCCCACAATTGTTGGCTCAAACCTCTGGGAAATTTTAGTCCAAGAGAACACCCTGTTGAGGAATAATGCTTCATTCCAGATGGATTGATGGATCCATAGTTGGGCAATAATTCTCCATTCTAGATGGATGGATGGATGGAAGGATGGATGGACGAAGTAATTTGCTGTGGGAATGTAGTCATTGACTTAATTTGTGACGCACACTATCATGCAAAATTATCATGGTTTATTGAGGGGAGCACACACTGTACTTTGCAATTATGATTTGTTAATCCAGATTTCAGACTAAACATGTTGTGCAAATCCTAGCCGTGTGTTGACCCTATCTTTAATTTGGTATCTGTGGGGAGGGTAAGCAGCGATATCTTTAAAGACAGAGAGTGGTTCTCATGCCACTTTCTACCACAGGCTTTATGATGCCCGTAACTGGTAACTTTTTAATTTCTCCTTCAAATCTCCTGATGACCAGTGTGTGGCTGATCGCAGATGTTTATCCTTGGCAACTTACTTACCTTGGCTAAAACCAAAGCACAAGCTAGCAAAAATGGGAGGTCTAGGCCCTTTAAACAGGCTCCTCCTCCTAGCTAAAGGACATCTGTCTCACTTCGGGGCCACAGCTGTCCATCTTACCAATTGCCCACGATTTGTCCTCCCCTGGGCCTTGGCGGCATGGGTCCTTGTAGCGGGTGAACAAGCAGTGCTGCTGTTCCAGCTTGTCATCTGCAACCAGAAGAAAGGCAGTGAAGGAGATCCATCACATGTCAAGGAAAGCCATGGGAGAGAGGTTGCGGAGTCAATGTTGATGACCAAATTCCAGAAAAATATGGACCTTTCAGGGTATATTGTGGGTATTCCTGCAAAATCCAGAAAGGCTTCGAAACCTTAAGTTGGGGGAATCCTATGGAAATGTGGAGCTCATGAAATAGAAACAAAGAAATATAGAAAGCTGCCAGCAGAGAAAGTCCTAGCGGTTCGTCGAGTCTGCCCTTTGAGTTAACTTTTTAGTTTTTTTTTTAATTAGTTATTTTTAATCATTATTTAATTAATCATTAATTATTATTTAATCATGGTGCTGGAGAAGACTCCTGCGAGTACCTTGGACTGCAAGGCGATCCAACCAGTCAGTCCTAGAGGAGATCAACGCTGACTGCTCTTTAGAAGGCCAGATGCTGAAGAGAAAACTCAAAGACTTTGGGCACCTAATGAGAAGGAAGGACTCCCTGGAGAAGAGCCTCATGCTGGGAACGATTGAGGGCAAAAGAAGAAGGGGACGACAGAGAAGGAGGTGGCTGGATAGANCCCTTATACCATTCTATGGCTTAAGTATTGTTTATCTTTATCTTTATTACTATGTACGTGTATCTCTATCTAAATCTATCTCTATCATCTCTATCTCTGTCTGTCTGTCTATCTATCTATCATATCTATCTATCTATCTATCTATCTATCTATCTATCTATCTATCTATCTATCTATCTATCTATCTATCTATCTATCTATCTATCATCTATCCATAGCTATATCTAGTAGTTCAGCTGGATTTGAATCTTCACCACCCTATGTGCAAGCATCCAAGCTGTGCCTCCACTGTCTGCCAAATTCATATTCATTGCATCAATGACACTATCTAACTGGCTCATCCTCCCCATCTTCTTTTGCCTTCCACATTTCCCAATATCAGGGTCTCATGTCTCTTTCTCTCCCTTTCCCTCTCCCCCCTCCCCCTCCTCCCCTCTCCTTTAAATAACAAGCAAAGGACAGGAAAAAATAGTGCAATTTTCTTGGGAAAGTGATGGCCTTTACTGGAAGCAAGCAGAGCTGGTGGGCATTTCTCTATGTGCTCATCAAGTATCAGACCTAACTTGATGGTATCTGCCTCAAGTGGGCTACCCATAGTGCTACCAGTTGGCTATGTGCATTATAGTTTTCAAGGGATGAGATGATTTACAGCCTGGTGAAGATGTAGAGTTGATGATAAGATTATTCCTGAAGAAATATGCTTGACATTGTTGGGAGCCAAATGGTCAATTAGGCTATACTCTGAAAAATGAGGGGAAAAAAACCTCACCTCTTAGAAGCAAACCTCTGTAACATTTGAAAGTCTGCAGCTCCTTTTCTAGAAAGTTAGAAATACATAAAAATAATTGCTGCCATTTATTCCTATTACTCATTCATTATCAGTGCTTTTAAACACAAAGTCTCCTCTTAACATCTTCTGACGTTTATCTCTAGAGGCCTAATATATTAATGCCTGCTTGCCATTTCTGGTTAATTTAAGTTTCGTGGAATCAGTAATTTGCAATGGTTCACAGATGGGCATTTTTAATTGCCCAGTAGGAAGTTTATTTTGATACAAAGATGGTTCAGACTAAACCATTGTCTAATTAGTTGTCTTCAGTAGTACTCTTGGCAGACCACTCTTCTGCTCAGAGCGGTATGTGAAAGAACGAAATTTTCATTGCTTGAGTCAATGAATAATTTTGGTGGTGATGGAATCGACCTCTCTTGAAAGACCAGCCAATTATAGACACTTCGTAATGGGAAATTAAATAAAAAGCTGAGAAATAGATGGAGTTAGGCTCATTGTAAGAATTTGTCTTACAGCATATCTTACATCAGAAGACATTTTCTAAGCCCCCAACTTTCTAAGCACTCTTACATGTTGCAACCATTTCTCTGTCAACTCTCTTTCTGTTCCACAGTTTATACATGCAGAAGGAGGACAGGCAGAACCTAGGGTGGAGTCAAGATGGGAATCAGCCTAGAATCCTCACATTCTCATAAACGGTCTAAGTCCTGCTCCTCTTGAATTCTGCTGACTCTTATTTAGCCCCAGTTTAGTGCTGACCATTAGTTGACTAGATTCTTGTGTATAGGCATAAGCAATATGTTCACTGAATTGTGGTGCTGATCTGTGGTGGGATTCAACATTTTTTACTACCGGTTCTGTGGACGTGGGTTGGTGGGCATGGCTTGGTAGGCGTGGCTTGGCAGGCTTGGCAGGGGAAGGATACTGCAAAATCCTCATTTCCTCCTGATCAGCTGGGACTCAGGAGGCAGAGAATAGATGAGGGCAGGGCTAGTCACAGGTGGTATGTACCGCTTCTCCTAACTACTCAAAATTTCTGCTACCGATTCTCCAGAACTGGTCAGAACCTGTTGAATATCACTATTAGGTAAAAGTTGAAGTTTGATGTTAATGCCTTATTCTACTGCACCGAAGGGAGTCGGAAGTCAATGCCTTTTCTTTCTTTTCCTTCCTTCTCCCCCCCCTGTCTTTTCTCTTCCCTTTTTCCTTCCCTATTTTTCCTATTATTTACTTTCATGTTTTCTTTGTAGGCAACACTATAAGCTAATAAAATTATTATAAAAAATAAGTTCATTGTGCAAATGATGCAAAACTGGTAAAACAGGGAAATTCCTCAAGAAGGGGAAATAATTAGGAAAATTCTGACTTGTGCCTGAAATGGATAAATCAACGTGGGAATTGAAAAATAAAGAGGAATCAGAATATTATAGGATCTGGCACAAATTTTATCGATGGTTGGAACAAAACACGAAAGACCCAAAATAAGCAATGATTAAGATTTATAGAATGGAGATTAGAATTATGCATGAAACTACAATAGTGAAAATATATAAGATAAGAACAAAGCAATATGGTTGGAAATATGATATTTTTATATTTGTAAATATGGAATAGATCAATGGTTAAAAAGCATGGTGGTTATAATGTGTAACTTTATATCTTAGTATGTATGGCATTGATCTTGCCGGGATAGTTACACTGTGCTCAATATTTTAATTTGTGTTGAGGACTCTGGGGGCGGAGGCTGTCGCCGAAGAGGGCTCAACGGAGCTCCTCTCAGAGATCTGGTCTGTATATCTAAATAAGATCATAGATATCACCCCTTTTTGGCTAGAAAGGGGCAGGGAGTTTTAGCTCTGTGGCTAGGATCTATTCGTAGTTCACAGCCTTNCCACTCCCATCCGGTCACATGGGCAGCAAGCCACTCCCACAAAGGAGGCCACACCCACAGAGTAGGTTTGAACAATTTTTGAAACCCACCACCGCTTCCAACTCTGTTTTTCTGTTATTCTGAAGGACTAGGCTGGGGGCAAATCATTCCAGGGGATATACACATGGTTGCTAAGAGTTGAAAATAACTTGATGGCACGTAATCAATTTAATCCCATCACTCAGTCAATCAATCCAACGATTTTCCAAAGTTTTATAGGTCAAATGTGATAGCCAAAATTTTCTTTATCACTACTTCATGCTAACCTTTTTCCTTTCTTTAAAAACAATTCTTTATGTTGTTATCTCCAGTACTACATGCAGCAATTTATTCCGAACAGGACATACTCTTAAACCTTTGGGAACTGTTTGTGTTAAATGTTGAAAAGCCAAGAATCTGGATGTATCTACTAGAAAGGCACTTGTTCTATCAAGTGACTTTTCCCCCACCCATCATTAATTTGGATGTTTTCATTTTTAAAAGAAACGTTGAATGTAGAACTTAATCCCAAAGCATTACCAGATGACACACTGTTTATTTTGAGATAAGATTCATATAATATTTAGATTATCCTGCATTACTGTGGGTAAAAAAAGACAGCTATTTATTGAAATTGGACTGGTTAAGCACGAAAGGCATCCAAACTCTTTCTGAGTACTTTTATGCAACCAAGAAAGAACGAAATATAATTATTTTTCACCCGATGAGACTCACAAGTTGATTTTCAACAGGTATGATTTTCTGAAGATTCATGTGATAGTTCAAAAAGATTTATACGTACCAGAAAGAGAAGCCAATAATGGTTTATTACATGATGTTTAGGAAATACGGCATTACTGAAAGATGGAACTTGCTTTAGATCAAGTTTCATATGTTAGGATCAGCCATGCTAGACATGGAAGACGGATTTGCAAAGCCACTGAAGAAAGTACAAAGCATATCATAAATTTGTGGGGCTTCCTGGATTCCTTCATTCATATCTTGTTCCATTTATGCATATGCCTATCCATCAGTTGAAACAACGGATGGAAACTAACCAAGGAGAGAAGCGACCTAGAACCAAGGAGAAATTTCCTAACAGTGTGAACAATTAACCAGTGGAACAAATTGCCTTCAGAAGTTGTAAATGTTCCAACACTGGAGATTTTAAAGAAGAGATTGGACAGCCTCCTGTCTGAAATGCTATAGGGCCGTGATGTGGAACCTATGGCACATGTGCTGGAAGTGGCAAGCAGAACCATCTCTCCAACCATACGAGCTGTCACCCATGGCTTTTCTGGGTTCTGGCGCATGCATGCACACCAGGGGTGGGTTGCTACTGGCATTACAGCCGGTTCGGCGTGCAAAACAATTTGTGCACACGGTTCACTTTTCTCACGTGCATGCCAAATGACGATCCGTGTCCATGCGCATTTACACCTAAAAAGGTCTGCGCATGTGCACAACGTAAGAAAAGGGGGGAAATTACATTTCTGAAGTGGAGAATGTTCTGCGCATGCGCAGAAGCAAAAATAAAGATGGTGCCCCCAACAATAGAACCGGTTCAGGTGTGTTACTATCTACTCAGCTGAACCGGGTCAAACCAGTAGGAACCAACCTCTAATGCAGTGGTCTCCAACCTTGGCAACTTTAAGACCTGTGGACTTCAACTCCCAGAGTTCCTCAGCCAGCAAA